CCCCAACGGGTTTGCCCGAACGCACGGCACAGTTGGAGGCGTGGCCTGTTCAGCATTTGTCAACAACCAATCACAAAACTGGTTACGAACCAGTTGAGCAAGGCTAACCGAGTCGGGACCTCGATGTGGTTTGAACGCAATAAAACGCGGAGAAGTTACTACTGCAAAAAACTTGTAGCGCCAAACTGGTTGCCGGTTGAATTGTTTTGAAATTTTAGGGCCTGTATATTTCTATGTATAGAAATCGCTGAAATGATTTCATCTATTCGTGAAAGGGACATTGTTTCTTCGACGATGGCCTGCGGGCGACTGACTTCCAAATGTTCCATCCAGATCAGACGGTGTAAAATACTTTATTTTAGCTTGATTTAATTTTTTGCTGAACACACTTTTTTGGTGTTTTGTATTGAATTTATTTTCACTGAGTTTTGAATGTAAAATATAGGAAAAAGGTATATTCGCTGAACCATTCCTTCAGCGAAAATAGTGAAAATAAAGTATTCCACCGTAGTCATTGCTCCTGTCTATACGTGAATGGGTCTTACCTTAGCGACGGTTTCTGCTCCCATCAGGTTATCACTTTTGAAATCGAGCTCGTTGAAATAGTCCTATAAAACAGAAGATATAGTGTTAACTGTGGTGAAAATCATATTGGTTTGTGATACTGAGCTCTGTCGTATTTGTTTTCATTTAATTCATTCAAAATGACTGAACTGTGGTGACCTGTATCTCAGTCACATGTCGTCACAGCCGTGAATGGCTTGTTTACGGTATCGACGTGATATGAATAAATGAAACTGAATAACTGTTGGTGAAAAGCATATTTACAAAATCAAACAAGTATCAGGGGCGCCATCCCACTCTTTTAAACTTGGAGGTGGACACATTTGTTCTAATATATTGAAAATACCCTTAAGGCATATGTATTGTTGTGTCCCGCCCTTTTTTTCCCGCACTTGAGTGTGTAGGTACGTTGTCGTCCACAAAAACGGTAATCGCAGGAATTGTCGCCTATTTGTTTTGTTTTGTTTTTCGGACATTTTCAAATTATACCCCTTTTCCAAGAAATCGGCATAATGTTAATGCGGTCATTGAGGATTTCTAGTCGAATGCGATGGGGAAGCAAATTACAGCTATACAAGTTATCGATAAACACATTCCAATGGGACATCCATGTGTACCCAAACAAATTAATAGCCTGGATCAGATATATACATATTTATTTGCTCTTATAGGCCACTGGCCCCTTTTGCTTATTACAATACTGATGCAACAAATCTTTGGTTAAAGGTCAAGTACATCTTGTCTCATTTTGTATAAAAACAGCTAAGTTACTAATAATTTCAAATGAATTACATGACATTAAAGAATAAAACTTATTTACAGATGGATTTGTATAAGCCCAAATGGGAATGAACCGCTTTCTAAGCATCTCGTACAGAGGACATATCATAATGAAATGATATTCGTCCTCTACTGCCATCATGTCACAGACTTGACAAAGTCTATAGTCAATGTCAAGCCCCATGACCCTGCCGCCCTCTATTGCCAATACATGACTGGAACATCTTAAGCATGATAATGTTCTTCTCAATTTAACATTACTAATAAATATAAAATAATATTCCCTCTGGAATAGGACTTTGAAATTACAATATGTACGTAGTTTGTCTTTTGTACACACCTCCGCTCTCCAATTTTGTCTAAAGAATATCATTTGCCCTTGACATGAATTGACAAAAAAAGGCTCATGGTCACCAGGACCCTGCCAAAACCACACTTCACCAAAACCAAACTAAAAAAAAAATAAATTTTATGTGTATTGCCCATGACGTTTCTGTCATTTTCATCAAGATTGA